TCCAAGCGGAAGAAGCATAAGAAACACAAGAAGCACAGCAAGAAGAGCAAGAAACATAAGAAGCACAAGCGGAAGAGCAGTGCCGGAAAATCGCGGGCGGACAGCAGTTCCCAGGGCAGCAGCGATGATGAGGAGCAGCCGCCGTCGGGAACTGCCAAGAGAAATGGTAATACAGGCAAGCTGCCGCTACTGCTGCCGGGCGCTTCCGTACCGGGGGTCATCAACGAGGACCTCGAGAAGCAGTTGCGGGAACGAGCCCTCAAATCTATGAAGAAACTGGACTGAACGACAGACTATATGCGAGAATGATTGCCCACTTTACTCCCAAAATTCTGACCCTCAACTCATACCCTCATCGAGAATCGCTCGCCCTTACAGACAGACGTACGTAGCCATTAAAATAGAAATATACATTTAAACCAACTATACATTCATTAACTGCATACATTGTATTTCTTAAAATGTATTTCACATAACGTTAAGTTCTTTCGCCTAAAGAAGAAAAGTAGCGACTAAATTAGCGAGCCAACATTAAGCGAATGAATACAGTTTGTATTATGTACAAAAAAAATTAAAAACTGAATTAACCCTTATAACTATTCAGCCCCGAGTGGTTTTAAATGCATAAATTCCCGTATAAAAGCATAAAATACAAAAACAAAGCAAGGAAAACATAAAAAAGCGTAAAACAGTTTGGCAAATTGTATTGTTGCCGCAGTTTAATTTATAAGTAGGTTTTACAGAATGTAATTAATAATGCCTGAAGCGCGAATTGTGTGTTTGAGGGGCATTAACTAAATGAGAAAATAAACACAATTGTAAAATTACCAAAATATAACTGATATTTTTGAAGTCCGATAAATCCGATGTGTTTTTTTAACTCGATTGTTCGGTCTCAATGCAGCCGTGCAAAATCTAGTATTTCTTAGCGTGACCAGAAAGCGGGACTTTGATTACGTTACCTTGCATGATTTCAGCTGGGGCATTCATTCAATTTAATTCCAGTTTCTACTATTCGGTATTTTTGATATTTAGGCAACGCAGACGCGTTTTCATACGCAAGCGCGTTTGCAGTCAACAATTAAATTGGATTGGAATTAAAATTTTTTTATTGTACAATAATAATATTAAAAATTGTTGAATTTCTTGGAAGTCAGGAAAAAAAGAAAGGCCTAATTCATATCAGTGCAGAGGAGAATTCATGTTATTCTTTTTTCGCGTGGGTTTTTACTCGAAATACAGATCAATTGGAAATTTTTTTGGGATATCAAAATCTAAAATATTAACCGTATTATACATTCGAATCAAAGCTTTAAAGGTTGCCAACTACATGTCCCCAAATTTACAAGGATGAGGTTCAATTATAAGTGAATAAATTAGATAATCAACGGTGGATTGGTTCTGACATTTATTTTAGTAATTAAATGTTCTTATACATACAAATAAAACATTTATTAAATTATCTCATTCGCCACGCTGTTATATTTTTTAAAGGGTAAATGTTTTAAAGAATTTAATATAATCTTAATAAGATACTAACCTACACAGTGCATTTGGCGAAGCGTGGGATGTGGTTAGAGGTGGAAACGTCGATGCTCACAAACATGCTTGATGTTTTGTCCGAAATCTAGTATTTTTTCGTTTTGCCCGGCTAGGTGGCTGGCCACACTGCTTTGAAATAACTTCCTTTTCCTGTTGTATTGCTCGACGGACGGTACGTGTTTTTCTTTTTTAAATTAATTTTCGTCAATTTCTTGTGGGTTTTCGCCATGGCAAACTAACGCAGCCTCATTATATCTGCCCCCCTCGGGAAACTCTTTTTCGTACCTTTTCCTTTTCGCTGCGCTTTCGCGTTGATGAAACACGTGCCTCGTTGCAAATAAAATGGATATCTGTGCAATTTTCTCATTGATCTTCATCCTTTTCCGGCTGTATTGCTAGACGGACGGCACGTGTTGTATCTTAAGATCAATTTTTGTCAGTTTTCATTATGAACATTTGTTGTTGTGGAACGAAGATGAGAGGTTTATCCGGCGTACAGAAAAACCTTCATCGGCATCATTTGGAGGGAGATTTTTCACTGAATGTTAACCGAAACTAACAATTTTATTGTTTCTTTAATTGCAGTGATCGCCCGTTCAATATTGTGAATCAAACATGGTGAGTACTTGGAAGAGAATGGTCTGCCAGTGAATTAAGTAGAAACCGTGGATTTTTGACTTATCTGCTGGTCATAATCTCCTGATTTTTCCACATTATGGAGAACATAACTAAAACCTTCTTATTTTACAGGCGCGTGGCCCCAAGAAGCATTTGAAGCGTTTAGCCGCCCCCAAGGCATGGATGTTGGACAAGCTGGGAGGCGTCTTCGCCCCACGTCCATCCACTGGTCCCCACAAGCTGCGTGAGTCGCTGCCCCTGCTGATCTTCCTGAGAAACCGCTTGAAGTACGCCCTCAACGGCGCCGAGGTGACCAAGATCGTCATGCAGCGATTGGTGAAGGTCGACGGAAAGGTCCGCACCGACCCCACCTACCCCGCTGGATTCATGGGTGAGTTCTGCAAAGGATTGCCCAAGATCTGGCCTGACATAATGCTTCAACCAACCCATTCTAGATGTCATCACCCTTGAGAAGACCGGTGAGTTCTTCCGTCTGGTCTACGACGTGAAGGGCCGCTTCACCATCCACCGCATCTCCGCCGAGGAGGCCAAGGTGAGTTATTGGTACCCTCTTAGGGAAAGTTCCTCCAAGAGTGAAGAATATATTATCCGGACTTCGTGGCTATATTTCAAATTTAGTTTTGTTATTATAAAAACTTATTTGGTTAACCTAACTTAGGTTATTGATAACCTCTTAGGGCAAGTTCCTCCAAGCGGGATCTATGTGTTATCAGAAGTGCGTGGTTTATATCCCAAACTTAGTTTTATTATTAAAAAACTCTCTAAAACAGAAAGACCAATTCGTTTTCCGCCACGAAAAAACTGTCTTATCCATGATTTTGTAGATCAGAACATTTTAGTATACAATTTTTCAACCCATACTTTACGTTCTCGTTTTCAATATATTGTTTTTCTATCAATTCCCTTTTCGTAATTACAAGTTACCAATAGTGTGAACGATTTAAGAGTGTGAAAGGGCTTTGTCGAAGACCGTTTTGCGTTTATGATAGTGCGTTAAGTGGTTCAAAACGAAGCCCAAAGCAATTTTTGATACGACGGTCTCTGATTTGACAAACTACAGTCATCTCAGTAACTTTTACGTGCAATTACAAAAGTATTATAGAATGATAGCCCCTTTTCCGATAAAATTAAGAAGGAATACTGTTTGTGGGCTTTGTCGAAGACCGATTTTCGCCTGTTGCCATGTGTTAATTGGTTCAAATCAAAGCCCAAAGCAATTTTTGATACGACGGTCTCTGATTCGGCATTCCACAGTCGTCTCAGTAACTTTTACGTGCAATTACAAACAATAGAGGGGCTTATGTCTTCTACGATGACTATGATGCTTAAGTAAACGAAACATATTTAAGTAACCAACATTTCTTATTCTCCTTTGCAGTACAAGCTGTGCAAGGTCAAGAAGAACCAGCTGGGCGCCAAGGGAGTGCCTTTCCTGGTGACACACGACGGTCGCACCATCCGCTACCCGGATCCCCTGATCCACGCCAACGACACCGTGCAGGTCGACATTGCCACCGGCAAGATCACCGACTACATCAAGTTCGATTCCGGTAAGGAAAAACTAATCATGAGCGATTTTCATTGGCTGGTTCGAAGACCACAAAACGTTTGTCAAAGTTGCGTGGTTCAAAAACAATAAGCCAAGAGCATTTTTTGTCACGACGGTCTCTGATTCGGCAATCCACAGTCGTTCCAGTAACTTTACGTGCAATGACAGTCGCTTTAAATAAAAGCTGTAGTTTGATGACAACTAACGAATGTTTTTATCGCTCCTCAGGCAACCTCTGCATGATCACCGGAGGCAGGAATTTGGGACGTGTCGGCACCGTTGTCAACCGCGAGCGTCACCCAGGATCCTTCGACATTGTGCACATTAAGGACTCCCAGGGCCATGTGTTCGCCACCCGTTTGACCAACGTGTTCATCATTGGCAAGGGCAACAAGCCCTACATCTCCCTGCCCAAGGGCAAGGGCGTCAAGCTGAGCATCTCGGAGGAGCGCGACAAGCGTCTGGCCGCCAAGACCCACTAAGAACCAGGAGTTTAAGGATTTTTACCTTTTAGCATAACACTCTGTACGTTAAGCTACGGAATTACAAGCCAAGAACGTAACGAATGTGTTTTCTTTTGCAAAAGGTAGTGTGAATTAGAGGTACTAACAGGCAGTAGGTAATATCCCGTGTTAGCAAATGAAAGACAGTATAAGAAAAGCTCTAAATTGTCATAAAAAACATGATCTAGGTTTTTAATAAATTAAAAAGGTATTATTTTTAGTTTTTTAAAGAACCATTGTCAGTTTTGAAAATATTAATTCAATGTAATGCTCTATTTTGATACCTTTAGTTCGGCATTGGATTTGAACCATTTAATTTCTATAGATTTTTAGCAGAAAGTACAACGAAGTGGTCTATTTATGGTCATAAGGTTAACTCTTCCAAGCCTGTTTTTTAGAATTCTACAAAACTTTTGTATATGCTGTTTAACAGCCTTTTTTAAATCGCTGAATAGCTAAAAAATGAACGTTTAAAAAGATAGGTTCCTCCACCCCACGGTAAGGGTTAAATTTAACCCCCTTGTGGTGCATTGGGGCCAGAGTTGGCGCCCAATTAATCGATAACCCGCCCCCAGCATCGATAGAATGCGCGCCACGAAAGCTCCGGTCACACTGCTCACTCTACTGCAGAATTATCATTGTATTTTGTGTGGTGAAAGGCTTTGTGCGCTGACATTGTGCGTCCACGGAACAGAACTCGCTTTGAAGTAAGTACCAGGTAATCCCGGTTTTGTATTCCTTGGTCGGGCGGAAGCCCTAGAAGAACCCCCGCCCCCAGAGGCAAATCATATGCGAAGAAGAAAACACGTAAATGTTGCCCACCCATACACCGATGCACTGACACACGGATGGTACACACACACGGGTGAACATCATATGTTGATAAGTTGGAGACAACAACAACAACGGCGGCGAAAACAAAAACAACACTGCTTGTGAATCATTTGTAGGGATTTGTCTGTTTGCTCGAGAGTGGTATTAAATGTCGGCCTATTTGTCGAGACCCCCGCTTTGAACTCACAGAGATATGCACTTACAGATATGTCCCAGGCCTTGAACAACCCAGGGGGAGGAGGAGGAGGCGGTGGCCCCCATCGGGACTATGGAGCCATGGCGGATTCCACGCCCGAAGTGAGTTTTGCAGCCGCCGGCGGATCCTCGGGCTTCAGCCCCACAGAGTTCATGTCCCTCAGCGAGGACATCGGGCACAACATCACTGCGATCCACAGCAGCACCAAGCAGCTGGAGAAGCAGCTGAAGCTCATCGGGACACCAAAGGACTTGCCCAACCTGCGGGAGAAGGTGCACGCCATCAACACCAAGTGCAATGCCCGGGTGCAGACCACCAGCCAGGACTTGCAGCGGCTGCAGGCGGTCGTGCGCCACGGAGACCGCCAGCAGAAGCTGCAGCTGGAGAAGCTCACGCGTGAGTTTCACGGCGTTGTCGAGAAGTATTCCAACCTGCAGCGCCGCATCTCGTCGGCCATGCGACAGACCCTGCAGCAGGCCCAGCACTTCGCCGACCAGGATGTGGAGGCCAACGCCCGTTCGGAGCTGCTGCAGCAACAGCGCCTGGAGCAGGCCAATCTGCAGCAGGAGCACGACATGCTCGACGAGCGCCGGCGACAGGTCGAGCAAATTGAGTCGGACATCATCGATGTCAACCAGATCATGACCAAGCTGAGTGGCCTGGTGCACGATCAGGGCCAGCAGATGGGTGAGTAACCCCTGAATGCATGCGAAACCCTCTCTTCGAGGGGGGCTTGCAAAACCACAAGTTGACAAGCCACAAACCGTAATTAAGCTTCTCAGTTTACGATATTCCGTGGAGCCACAGTAATGCAATAAGGTGAAAATGGAGAAATCAGTTGACAGAACAGAATATCTAGAGTTTATCAGTTGTTTCTAACTTACTTTTATCAGGGTTTATGTTAGCAATCCATAGTGACTAATGACAGAAATTATGAATCATTACAACTGATTCTATATAAGTAGACAGTTATTACTGATGCATTTATATTCCATATTACAATTTGTATTTCGGCTTTATGAAAATAACATGCCATATATAAAGTATTCCATCAATACACTTATCATTATCAATACTCTTAAAATTAAATTTCGTTTCCTGTTTATTGGTTCATTTTGAACTTATTTTTCAGCAATCAATATGTTATGGCTAACAATTACTTCTTTTGTTTCATAAATAAGTACAGGCTGATAAGCACTGATAAGCATTAAAGAAAAAAGAGGCCAATTGGGTTATTTGAAAATAAGATAGTAGACTTACTTACTTAAGGGACATTTGGAAATACATATTTCATGTAAAATTGAAACCATTTGTTGAGCTTTGCCTATATTTTTCTAATCAAACCCCTGTTTCTCCACAGACTTCATCGAGAACAGTATTGAGCAGACGGCCGCCAACGTGGAGGATGGCACCTCGCAGCTGGCCAAGGCGGCCAGGAGTCGCCAGAGCTACAGGCGCAAGATCTTGATACTCCTGGTGATCGCTGTGATAATAGGTTTAATCGTAACTGGCGTTATCGTTGCCAAACTGAACAGTTAATTGTTTTATTTGTACACCCACATTCAAACACACGCAAACATACACACACACACACACATGCATAGGTTTTTGTAAAACGATTTTTATAAGAAACAAAATATTCGATCGTTGAGAACTCTGTTTAATCACCAAGTGAGCAAAGACAACAAAAATGTAGAGGAAAAGCTAAACAAAAAAATAAACAAATACCATATTTATAAATATATATATATACATACGTAACTAAGGATACTGCATCCCACTTAACTTGCATATAAACAATATTCAACGCTTTTAAATGTTAATGATTTCTTGTTAAAACGATTACCGCGAACAATTTAAGTTTTGCATTGAAATTTGTAAAATTCTTGTGTTTAGTTTAAAGCAAGCGAATGGGGCATTGCTGAAGCAGAATATGACTTCAGGAATCCCTTAAATATATGTTGAATAATTCAAGTTAAAAATAAGTGAGCCAGCAATCGAAAATAAAATTAAAAACAAAGTTAAAGTGTTTTGAAAAGCGCGCCAAAGTATAGGAGCAGGTTGGCAGCCCACTTCAACCGATAGGTAAGCATCGATAGGTGGAATCGAAGAACGGTCACACAGAACCAAAACCAAAACAACGTGCTGCGGAGTAAAATAGTTTTTATTTTATTTTTCTGATAAACAAAGGATTTCAAAGATGCCCCAGGGAAAATTTAAGAAGGCAAAGATGCCCGCTTCCATACAGAAAAAGAAAAACCAAAAGCAAGCTGCCTTCACCCGCCGTTCAAGTGAGTTTCAACAAGTTGTTTTACCATACCAAAAACTTAGTTACTATTATTCATATCTTATAGATGCCCCCATCCAGGCGAAGAAGGCCAAGTTCAATGAGACCCAGAAGATTAAGTCCGTGATCTCCAAGTCGGTCAACAAGAGTGTGGAGAGCGAACTGCGATCCCGCGCCCACGAGGGATACATCCAGTTGAGCAAGGCGCAGGAGGCGGTGGCCAAGCACCACGCCTCCCAGGCGAAGGCGGCTGCGGCGGCCAGTACCGCCAAAGCCACAGAATAGTTTACTTTACGCCTAAGCTCATTGTTGATAACCCAAGGACCTGCATATTTGATAGTAAAACCTTTTTAAACTGATTCCGATGTTACTGTTTATAATCAAAGAAGGAGGAATCAAGGTTTGATATCCAAGAGACTCTTAAAAACCTTTAAAACTTTACACATGGATATAGTTTCAAATCAACTTACGCGGTTTCCTGATACTTAACGTATAACCTTGTCATAAATGGATCAGACCCTTAACATAGCAGTACCATTTTGAACTCTAACAATTGACCACAAAACATTCATAATGTGTCCTCAAAACACCAAACAAATTAACAGAATACCTCTATATACAAGGTTTATTCGGCGGTTATTTAGGAAAATTCGAGCTTGCATTGAAACTAGAACCAGTTCTGAGCTCCTGTCAAAAGTACCCATTTACTTATAACCCTAAGAACTTATTCCAATGAACATTTTTAAAATTAATAATACAGTTCTGCGGAACATAAATTCGTAATCTTCAATATATTTGAAATCCCTATCTTCACTTTCAAAAGAAGTTTAAATTTTCATCAAAACTTTGTTTGACCAGTAAAAAATTATTAAACATCATTAAGTTTTCTTGTTGTATGCTCTGAATTTGTCCTTGTGTTGTCTCAAGGGCTCGTTGAACAAGCACTACACTGCTAACTTTGACGTTTGCCCAATTTATGACCGGACCTTTGGCCGCACTCTTGGCACAACTTCGACATTCAGCTTCCTACTTATCACAATCAGTTTGTTTAATTATAAAAATAGTTGGCGAACAAAGTTTGTTCCGCTGACATTTATTGGACGATTCGCTGCGGCTCCGTCCGCCCAGAATTCCGTAATTCCGCTCCTTTAACGACAGCTATTCATGACAAACTTTTTTGGCATTGGCAGCTTTGACGAAGTGAAAAGGAAAAAGTGCAACTAACAATTTCTATTTAATTTTCGCAACGTTTCGTTTCGTTTGCTATGCAAATTCAGCCCGCTTTTGATGCGCTTTTAATTAGCCAGCACATCCCGCACTCACATGCAGCCAGAAAAATCCACAGCCAATTGCTTGTTTTTGTTTAGTTTTTTTTTTGTCCTTTGTGCCCCCCACCTTTTCATATCAAGCACTTTGATTCCGCGCTTTTCAATCGCATGCAAATGAGCCACGCCCCCCGCCCTCGCCCGCTCACCTGAAGAACAGGTGACAGGATCCCCAGGTGCTCGCTCGTTAGTCGTTTTTTGAGCGTTTTGCGTTTTTAGTTTAGCACCAGAATTGAAGTGCTCCCAGCATGCAAATGCATTTTGGCACTCAACCTGCAATTGGGAGGATAGACCTTTTTGGATATGCAGTTTTAGCACGGGAAAGAAGCAGTTGATAGCAGGCATTCGGAACTTTTTGACACCTATCTTCGCACACTTTCCACATTTTGGGGAGTTTAGACTGTGTTATGAAACTGGTCTTGTAGAAAAATTTATGTAAGACACGTAATCCCTAAAATGTATACATCATTTATCATCTATCGAATACTTTCTTGGGCTGAAAGTGCAAAATAATGATATATTTTTATATGACTATTTGTTTCTTAATTTTATTTGCTTATAGTAAAAGGTATGTAGCTTAAAAATAAAATTAAAAAACAGTATAACATGTTTACAAGAAAAATTAATTTATAAAATATTTAAAAATTCGTTAAAATAATATTAAGTTTGGCTAACCGAAATAACCACTCGGTTATTTCGGTTAGCCAAACTTAATATTATTTTAAAAATTACCTTAACTGATTTTAAATTTTGTAAGATTACAAAAAGATTTTACCCAAACTTACATATATATTTTTTTGAACTTAGAGTATGCATTTGCTAACATGTTTTCTCAGAAATATCACAAACTTTTTGAGGCTTTTAGCTCGGCGTTTCACTTGATTAACAGTCAATCTTTTCGCACTCTCCAATTAGAAAATGAATTGCTAATATCAGAGAGACTTGGAAATTTATACGAACCGAAAAGCTTTTAAAAACGCAACCATTTCAACTTTAAGCCGCGCTGTAGCCCGTGTTTCCCCACATCAAAGTGATTGTTTTATATAGCCTCTTTGGCATTTCATTTTATGGCTTATTTAATTGAGCATTGCATTTTGACCGCATTTGGCAGGAATTGATTGATTTGCCTCCGCACTCATCCATCCGACCAGCCAACACACCCCTCGTTTCCCCAGCCCACGGGGCTTAACTCAGTCCATTTAATTAAAATATTTCGAACAAAAGGATCGGACACCTTTCACGCACTCCCGCACTCACAAAGGATAAAAAGCAGTGTCCAGAGCGGAAATCACACGGCCCAGCATCCTTTTTCCATTTTCCATCATTTAAATGATGCGTTTCTGTTTGCCTTTGCGTTTGCATTTGCTGGCTGCCTTCAGTCGGTCGGCGACCTATTTGAATAGCGACGTGTGTCCCACTGTCGGACATTCCAGGTAGCTGCTACATCTCCCTGCAGTTTTCTATACACTCCAAAAAATATTTGTGTATTTAGTAAGCGGCTTAGACCCGAAATTAAAACGTTCATCAACTACCTACAGATATTATGTTACGGTTTTCGATGTATTTCATGTAGGATAATTTAAAAAAGGTTTTACAGATGTCTCTGCCAACTTAATGAATGTATATCTTGTATCCAAAGATGGAAATATATTTTTGTAATGTTTTTTAAATTTAGTTTGTTAAAATTCCAGCCGAATAATTTTCTTGAATTTTGAATTTGGTTGAAATAGTTGTTTCTGTAGCTATCCTGTATTCAAAGTTGGCCAAATATATTTTTTTTAAATTTAATTAAAAATGTTTTCTCCAAGAGAAAATGTAAGGTAAGTTTGGTTTTGTCATACCCTTTTTTTAGAATTTTGGAAATTTTCGTTAAATGCAAAAATATATAAAAGTTTCAATTAAATTGTTTCAGAAAAGCCTTAATTCAAGAATAAAATGATTATTCAAGAACAAAACTTTTAATCAAGAATTTTTTCTTGATTTCTTTGATTGTGAAAATATTTGTAATGCATTTAACTAGTTCTTTTTTACAGTGCATGGAGCGTGGACCACGGCTACCTGGTTACCTGGTCAGGTCGTCCGCCGTCTCATTGTGTGCGAGGCGCGCATGTAAATTTGTCCAACTGCAATGGCAAACACTTGAAAAGCGAGCGACAGAGGCCCACTGCTGGCGGCCACCTGCGGCATTCCACACCAGACCATGTCCATTCCAAAGACCCATTCCATTCGAATCCGTTTCCATTATTTTTTTGTTTTTGCATACAATCGAACGCTTTGGTTCCTGGTTCGAGTTCTATGTCCTGTCCGTCCATGGGCGAATTCTGATTTATATGATGAATGACAATGAGCAGGGGTTTGTCTATTATTTCGTTTCGGGCATTAAGTTTTCCGCTTTTGAGTTTTTTACACCTTTCATAGGGGGATTATTTTTATGGAGAACAGCGCAGGATTAAGGAGATGTTTTGGGTACATTTTCGGTAGTTAATCCAGGGTCTCCTATCACAAAGTATTTAATTTAAAATAAATACTAAAATATTTCAAAATAAACGAATGGGTTAAGGGGACTACGAATATATTTTAGAGATACTATAGAAAGTCTAAAATGGAGAACGGGATTTTTGCCTAGAACCACGACTAATCTTGAGCTATAAGTAATTCGCTTCGGAAATGGTTTCATTCAGATTCTTCTCCACCGCTCTATCTTCCCTATCATTTGTATCGCTCCTACAAATTCCGTTCTTCACATATACCTGTTCCTTCGATATCGCACCGCATTATTAATGAACCACTTCCAATACCTTTACTAAATTATACACTTCTGCCCTTGAGAGAACCTGGAAGAGAAGGGCAGTCAACGAAATTCACCTGTCCACACGGATTTCTAACTTTTAATACATAAATTAAGGCTTAAAGCCGAAATGCAGGGGCAGCAGAAACAAAAACACAAAGCAATCCACGGCATTAAAAAGATAAAGACCTGCCGGGGCATTGAGATATTCCACCTGCAGTCGCGTCGCATATCCCCAGTCCCAGATCAACAACATATAATAATCCCATCAGCATTTTTGGATACGCTTTGCAAATGAATTGTAGAGCGGCGGCATACCATTCCCGACCAAACCGGACTGGGAGCGTGGATAATAATAATGTGGAACCGAAAATGAGCTCGGATCGCTGACGACTGCGAAGGTTCTGCATTTGCACCTGCATCGGATCGGAACTTTGATGGGCCTTGCGTGGCTTATAATTAAATTGGACTTGTGGATACAATTTGATATCCTCGCCGATGTGCTCCATAAAGCATATGAGCTCACGAAGATTACATAATGGTTTCGTTATTAAATGACTTACATTTACATTTTGAAGGGTTTCGGGTGGAGCGAACTGTGGTGAGAATTTCTTTGTTAAGAACAGCAATTTCGGCGGAATTACCCCAACGAGAGCGTCACATGCTGAGTATCTTTCAGTTTTTTGAGGAAAAATTCATGTTTATCTGGTTGTTTTATGCCCTTACTATATGACTGACTATGTTTGAAAATAATTCACACAAAACTATTAAGATAGACCTTTTTGAAGCCCTGCTTAACGAACCAAATCTATGAATTCTACTCTAAAAACATTTCGGTTTACTTTTGAAATACTTACTTAATATAAGGAAAAAATGTACAAAAAATGTAGAGTACCAATTTAATGATCTAACCATTTTATATTTTAGGATAAATATTTGTACTCACAGAAATTTATACATTTTACATTTACAAACCATTTAAAAAAATTGTATTTTTACCACATCCATTTATATTCTTATCATTTATTTGAGCAAGCGATAAAAGAATGCAATTAAAATAACATCTATAAAAAAAAAAGCCCTTAGCTATTATTAAAATGAATTTAATCTATTTCATCGTTTTTAAAACGGATTGAATAAATCCCGACCTGGGGCAACTTTTTTCAGCCAATGCCGAGTAAATTAAAATATCAGTTATCATTTTCCAAATCATTTGCCCCGAACATTATTCCCCAAACTAAAAAAT